TCACCATTATCCCTGGCATTTAATCATGCATGACCCATGGATTTGCTGCAGGTATCAAGGATTTATTTCCCTGAATCCCAGATGCTCCAGTCCTGGGCGTGCTGCCCTCCCAGAGTGGGTCCTGGTGGATCCCAGCTAGACCTGGGCAAATCCTCCATCAGGCATGAAAATTCCCTCCTTCAGACACTTTTTCTCCAAAAGCCTGAAGTTTTCAGGGCAGGAGGAAATTCTGGGGGCTGTGAGGAAGGGTTTGGTGATGGTTTGGTGATGCCATTCATGGCAACAGGGCACAGTCACATGCTGGTGCCCGCTGTGCTCCAACAGGCAGCTCGCAAACTACAAAAACACATGAAAGACAAACCCAGATCCATCAATTAGTGGAAATAAATGGAAATTAAATCTCTTTTTGAAGTTTAAGGGAAGGTGCTGAGCTGTGGGAGTGGAGGCTGCAGCTCAGGACGTGCTTCTGATACTCATGGAGCACCAGGAGATACTCAGGACACCCCTGGGAGGAATCTTCATCACATTTTAGACCTCAGCAGCCCTGAAAAGTTAAGCACTGAGCCCAGGGTCACCCTATAGTAGCCCCATGGATTGCAAAATGCCCATTCCTGGTAAATTCCTGCATGGCTCAATGCTTTGTATTCAAAGGGCAAATGGCTCTCACGGAGGACAAGGAGCTTTAAACTAAAAGAGAGGAGATTTAAATTGGTTTTTAGGAAGCAATTCTTTCCTGTAAGGATGGTGAGGCCCTGGCACATATTGCCCAGAGAAGCTGTGGCTGCCCCATCCCTGGGAGTGTTCCAGGCCAGGTTGGATGCAGCATTCCCTCCTTCCCTGAGCCATCTCCTTCTGCCCCAAACCATCCCCTCCTGCCCCAAAATGCCCCCCCACCCTATTCCAGCACAGCAATACAGTCCCAGAGTGTTGGGTTTTAGAATTTATTAGTAGGACAATCTGATTTATGCCCTGCTGACAAATGGGATGTTGTATTTCAGGAGTTTATCCCAGGAGAACAAATAAATAAACAGAGCGATGGAAACCTCATGAATTTTTTAAAGAGCTTATCAAAATCTGTTTTTTTCCCCCTTTTTCCACTGGCAGAGTGGCTGAAAGGGGAAAGATCCCCTCCATCTGCATTCTCTGCACTTCTTTTCCCTTCAATCTCTTAATCCTCTTCTTTCCAGCTTTAATCCACACAGTTGCCTCTTTCTTGTTTGGGTGGGTTTTTTATCAATTCCTCCAACTCCAAATAATCACAAAACCAACACCAAGGCACTGTGTCCATCCTCTCAGCCCTGCTGCTCCAGGGAGCATCCAAAAAAGCCTGGCTCAGCGTTACATCATCCCAGTTCCTATTTTTTCCCTTTTCTCACCCTAAAATGACCCTCGATTTGCAGCCGTGGGGCATTTCTTGAGCTTGGCCATCCATCACCTCCAGGTCCCTCCCCAGGGACTCACGCCCCTGTCCTGACATCCTAATGAGTTAATTAAGGAAAACCAGGGCAGGAGAGGTGTGAGCCCTCTGGGGGATGCTTTCTGGGAGATGAATCTCCAGGAGAGGCTCCTGTTATTCCCAGAGGACCATGGCCACCACCTGCTTCCCAGGGAAATACCAGGATTGAGGAGAACTCTTGAGCACCTCACGGCGGTTGGAGCAGGATCACGGGTGGATTCCCATGCCAGAGAGCCAGATCCCAACATTCCCCTGCAACTGCCAAGGGCTGGTCAATCCTTTTCAGCACTGGGGATGGTGCCAGGGATGCCAGTGATACTCAGGGCACTGATACTCGTGCACACACACCCTGCCTCCAACCTCTCCAGAGCCCAAAATTCACCCCTACAAGCAATTAAACCCCATCAGAACAACCCTGCTTGACCTCATTTCAGTGATTTCAGCTTTTTCCCAGCAAAGTTGTAACAATGGGAAATGTATATGAAAAAGAAGAGTGGGAAAGGCACCAGCATGGCCAGCAGGAGCTGATTATTCCACAGCATTCCTCATTTCTGGGCATTATCCCCTTTTCCTGCCCCACACAGCTGAGGTGGAGCAGAGATAGGCACCAAAAGCACAGGATTTGCTAATTATTGACTTTTAATCAGCTGCTCCATGATAACCTGGCCCAGCTCCCTAGTCCAGGAGAGCCAGGATTGCAGGGACGTTTTCCACTCCCTGGGAGGTGGAAAAACATGGAGAAACACACCCAGGGGTCAGAGAGGATAGGAATAAGTAAATGACTGAAATGAGGCTCCTTGTCCTGCCTTTCCCTGGATGTCACTCCTTAGTGATCCAGTCTGCAGGCACCAGCCTCACCCTGGAAGGAAGGCAAAGCCTCCGGGAGACTCCCAGGGCTGGAACACTGCTGCTTCCTGGGGGCCAGTGGGAGAAAACTCTCTTTCAGCTTCACGTGCGCCCCCTCACCAGGAAAAAGTCAGCTACTAAAAAATTGACATTTCAAGTCACAAAAGGCCCAAGCTGTGACTTCAAACCCAAACTTGTTTTCCCACATCCTGGCTCATTAGTGGAGCAGAGCAAGAAAGCACCGAGCGACCCATTTAAATTTTAGATTCTGACCTTTCTGCTTAAGATCTTTTCAGACATTCTGTTTACAGCTTTTTTTTTTTTTATGCTGGCACTTCATAATCCTCAAAATGAGATTTGATGCAGCTTTTTTAATATTGTAATGCACCTCATCCTCTTTTTTCCCAGCCCTCCCGAGCCAGCTTTGTAATTAGGAGTTTCTAAAAAGACCATAAATGAGGGCTGCAGCCTCCTGCTGTGGTGGGGAGGAGGGGACAGTGACTCCAGTGTTCCCATTGGAATGGGGACCCAGAATTTACCCTTATCCAAGGAAAGCCACTCCAGTGCCAGGGCACTGGGAGCCACCAGCTCCACTCCCCTGGATAAGGTTGTTGCCAGGAACCTCCACAATCACTTTTGGCTCAAGATCCAGCACCCCTGACGTAGGGATTTATCTGGGAACACTTAAGGCTGATGTCAAAAGTCCCTTGTCAACAACCAAAAGGACTTTGGGGTCAAAACCACCCTGGAAGCCCTGCAGAATTGTGTCCTTCTGGTGCAGCATCGCTGGGAAAAGTGGAGTCCTTTGCACCACAGTCAATAAGGAAAATAGATTTGATGTCTCAGGAGGATCCTGAGAAGCCAAACTTTTTCTCCAGTGGATGCTGGTCTCAGGGGGAACTGCGCATCCCATTAGGAGACCTGGAATTGCGAGGACCCCTTTGGGGAGCTGCAGAGGGAGAAGACACCCCCGTTTTTATAAAATACAGGACAGAATTGCTGGTTTGAGGGGGAATGTGGGACTGTTTGGAAGCAGGGAAAACCCTTGGGTGTGGGACCCGCTGATCCAGCTGATGGCAGGTCTCATCTCCTCTCATTCCCAGCAGTCTCCTGCAGCCTTGTCCAGAGGGAGGGAATGCTGCTGGGGCTCTGCATGGCCAACCCAAGGAAACAAGTGCCAGGAGGATTAAAATAGTACAAAGAGCTCCTCAGCCCCCAGCCTGGAGCTGAGGCAGCACTCCCAGCCTGGTTTCCTATGGAAACGAGCCGTGGTCCATCCGCCTGCGCCTGCCTGGAGGGGTTTGGGATCCTCCTTGCACATGGATGCTCCTGCATCCAGCATGGATAGAGCTGAGGATGCAGGTTCCCTCGGCAGGGACAGCAGCAGGATCCAGCCTCTCCCCAGCTACTGCTTTCCTAAAACTCCTGCCTTGGGCTCCAGGGCTGGGGGCTCCCAGTGGGATGCATGAACCACCGTGGGCACGTTCCTCAGGGTCCTCCCGCTCCACTGGCACCTGGAAAATGCCCCCTCCAAGCCCACATCCCTGTTTGCAGCAAAGCTGAATGTGGGAGAAGAGTCCATGGCCATGGAAGGTGCTGCCTTAATCATGTTCAGCACAAGGTTTTCCTCTGGATCCTTTTTTAATTATCTCCTGACTTGGAGGGACTCGGTGTGTGCCACAGCCCTGGAATACTGAGGGAGAGGAATCCCCAGCAGTGGGCAGGGGATGGGGCTCCCAGCTCCTCCAGCACCCCTAAAAATCCTCCCCAGTGCTTAAAGCAGCCAATAAAAGAGATGAGGAAAAAATCCCCTCTCACCTTAATCTCTTTAGAGTTGTAATTTTTCTTATTCTCAGATCTTGACCATTTACAAATTAATTTTTCATTGATCTGACAGACAAAAAAACCCCCCAAACCCAACATATATGCATACTTACACATATATATTCCATTATATATTTATTTTATTTAGCTCTAATATGTTTGTTTATAGTGCTTATTAATGTTATTTATACACATTTCATCCAGACATCTCTACATTTCTATATCTCTCTATATTTCTATCTTTCTATCTATATATTTCCATATCTCTATATTTTTGTATTTCTATATATATAGTTATATTAATATTTATATTAATATTTATTTATTTATTCATTCATTTATTTGTTGAATGTCTTTTTTTCTCCTTGTTGGCCCCCTCAATAACTCTCCGGCCGATCCCGAGTGCCAAGACTGGGACAACACTGGGGATGGAGCCGGGTCCTCGTGGGGGTCCAGCATCACCCACCGCCCCCATCCTCAGCATCCCTGCCCGGGAGCCGCTTCCCGGCACATCCCGCCTCCCTAAAAAAAGAGGAAAAAAATATAAATAAATTTTAAAAAATTCCAAACGAGGTGGTGCGGGGGCAGGAGGGAAGGGGTTAAAAGGCAGGCGGGCGGCGGAGGGAGCGGAGCCGCTGGATGGAGACGTTAAGTACCGGCGCCCGGCAGCGGCTGCGGGCAGAGCCGAGCGGCAGCCGCCGGGCCGGGCCCCCCCCGGCCGGCACCGGCACCCCCGGAGCCCCCCCGAGAGGCACCGCAGCTCCCCCGACCGCGGGGCCGGCCCGCAGTGCGCACCCGGAGCCCCCCCGGCCCCGCCGCTCCCGGGGGCGGCCGCTGATGGAGGGACGGAGGGATGGATGGAGGGACGGAGGGATGGAGGGACGGATGGAGCGGCGGCGGCCGGGCCGGGCTGGGCCCGCGGAGGGTAAGGAGGAGGTGTGGAGGGGGGGGATAAAGGGGGCTCTGCGCTCGGGGTTGGGGTGCGGGGAGGGGACACCGCGGTAAAACCGCGGGAATTGCGGAAAAAAAAACCCCAACCAAAATAACAACCAGAAAAAGAGAGGACGAACCAAAAAACACCCCCACCCCGGGAAATAAAAAAAGATTAAAAAAAAAAAAAAGGAAATAAAAAAAAGAAGGGAGAAAAGCGCAACACGAAGCGGAGGGACTGGGGGGAAGGGGCGAGGGGTGGGGGGACAGGGGGAGCCCCCAGCCCGGGGCGGTGGGACCCCGGCCCGGCGGGAATGTGCGTGGGAAAGGGAAATCGCGGCTGCGTGTGTGGGAAGTTGAGGTGGGGAGGGGGGACCGAGACCCCCGCTGATGTGCGGGAGCTGATGATTCCCGCCTCATCCCGGCAGGGATTTTTCGCTGTTTTCTGCTGGTTTCGGGAGGGTTTTGCTTTGGAGAGGGAGAGAGGCGGGAGAGAGCTCCCCTCTTCCTCCTCCTCCCGAGACTTTGTGCGGGAATATCTCTGCAAGGGAAATGGAGAGCAAATATAATCTGTTCAAAAACCCCTTCTCTATTCATTTTCTTCTTTCCATATCCAAGCTGGCAACTTAAGGGAATATTTTAATATAAAGTTAAGCAAACCATATGTGCAGTGAGAGCAGAGGCTGTTGCAGAGTGGCGTGAAGGTAACCTTGAGCTGAGCCTTATAAACCCTTTCCTCCGTGAAGGCAGGATTAAATAAACTTTCCTGGCAATCCAGAGCTGGGAATCACAGCCTGGCAGGGGGGAGCCCCCAGCCCCAGGGTGTCCCCACCCAGCTTGGCCCTGGCCCACCTGCACCTTCTCATCCTGTGAGTGTTGTAACCTTCTCCTCTGGGGGGATCTGTGTCCAGTTATCCTTTATAAGGAGCTGTCCTTTTCCTGAGCTTGGGAAAGCTCTCTCCTGACTGAGTTGGTCCTTGGAATGTCCAACACTGTTGAGCACGAGGGGCTCCTCTGAGATGGGGTTCGTTAGTAGTTATTAGATTTTTTTATATATGTTATATTTTATATATTATTAGCAGGTTTTGTAGTTTTTATATACATTATATTATAATATTCTATGTATTATTAGCAAGTATTATGTTTGTTATATATTGTTCTATTTAATATATTTTGTTAGCAGTTATTGTGGGGTTTATATACATTATATTATATTCTTTATATTATTAGCAGGTATTATGGCTTTATATATAGTATTGTATTCTATATATTAGTCACTCTAAGTTTTATATACATTATATTATAATATTCTAGATACTATTAGTTATGCTGATCATGCATGGGCCTGGGGTGCCCAGGTAGAATTTTTGGATGCCTTTCCCAGATTCTGGAGCCCAAGGAGTCAGGTCCAGCTGCAGCATCAGGGCTGCAGGTGCCTGTGTCCAACACAGAAGTTCCCAGGTTTCCCTGTGCTTTAGGCTTCCTGATGCTCAGGGGACAGGAAAGTCCCCTTGGAGCCCCTGTCCCCTCACAACCCAGTTGGGGTACGTGGGTGGTTTTCCTCTCCCAGAAATAAAAGGTTTGTCCTTCCTGGAATATCTTTTCCCCAACCCTGGCAGCAGACTGGAGGCCACCAGCCCTCGCTCTCACCGTGGCCTCCAGCCCACAGGCTCCAGCCAACCTGGAATGCTCCCTCCCCAGCACTGTCCTCTGAGGTTTCCTTCTCCGTGATTTCCTTTCCCTGTTCACTCCAACTTCACTGGAGCCAAATCTCTGTTGCCACTGTGTCCCCAGGGCCACCCCTCAGCACCTCCAGGCTCCCATCCAGAGTCACACTTCCCGTGGCTGAGGCAGGATCCCCTTCTGCAAGGTACAGCCGCCATGGGCATCTCTCCCAGCTCGGTCCAGATCCCAGGAAAATCTCTGCTTCTCCTAACCTCCATCCCTCTTAGGACTGCCAAATCCTCAGTCTCCCTGAGCTGTTCAGGGAGCTGGTTCTGCTCTGGGATAGGAATCTCTGTGCTTTGGTATCTCTGTCACAGTGTGTTGGCCCCCTCTGGAGCCAGGAGCTCAGCCTGGGAGCAGGGAAGGAGTGTGGGGCAGGAGAACCTGCTCTGTGCTGCTCAGCCAGGGGTGAGCCTGCAGCACTCGTGGGAATGGCAGATCTCTCCCGAAACTGGGCCTTCCATCTCTTCCATGCAGCAGGATGCAGGAAAAGAAAGGAATCAACCCTCCTGGGAAAGGAGGTTTTAAAGCAAGGGCTGCAAGAAATCATCCTTCTCACTCTATTAATGGGCTGCGAAGGCATTGTCTGCTGCCTGAAAAGCTCGTTTGTTAATTGCCCCAGAGCTGCCTCTAATCCTGGATTAATGAGGGCTGAGGGAAATCTCCATGGAGGAGACCTGAGTGTGGGCTTTGCAGGCAGATTTGGTTTGGTTCTGCCCCATCCAGGGGGTCCTTGGGGTGTTCATCATGGACTGAATGTGGTGGGTGCTCCCGCAGCGCCCATGGAAGATGTTTAGTTTTAGATGGGGGGGTCACACTTCCCAGCTCCCCAGTGATGTCCCCATGGATCCCATCATGGTCTCTGTGGGATTTGTGCTGCTATAAATACCACAAGGGATGGTCTTGTAGGTGCTGCTGGTGGGGTGCATCTGGATTTCCCTTTGGGAAATATCCTTTTGATGCATCTCATCACCTTTCCGAATCCCAGAACCAGGAGTGGCTCCAGTGCTCAAAACCTCGGGATAAAACCACTCGGCTGCTCTGGTTTGGCTACGGGGTTTGTTCCTCATCATTAAGCACAAGGAGAAAAACAGCAGCGTCGTGGCTTTCCCTGGAATAAAGAGCTGTCAGGCTCTGGATGTGCCGGTGGCTGCGGCTCAGGGCTGCTCTGCCACTGTCACAGGGATGGTGCAGGTGTCCGTGAGTGCCAATGATGGAGTGACCAGAGAATTTGGGAATGATGAGCATCTTCCAGGGATGGTTGTCAGTCCTGGCACCACCTCTGGAAGAGGTCAGCCCTTAGATCCTAAACCTCCTCCCGTGGGATTGAGGCAGCACTTAGTCTGGGGGGAGTTTTGCTGAGCCAGCAGCTGGCTGGGATCCAGCTGTGTCTCCCTGAGGGACAGCCCTGGCCTTCCTCCCATCCTCCTCCTCCTCTCCCCGTGTGAGCACACCCCCTCCCATGCAGGGCTTGGCTCACTAAGTCTGACTGAAAACCGTAACTGGATTTTGTAGCCTGGGCATAAAATACCCAGAACATAAGACACATTAAAACTCATTAGGTTAAGCCCTTTCACAGACACTCAGAATCGTCTGAGTGAATTAAATCACCTTTTTCACAGGGTTTAAATGTCCAAAGGGACATGCAAGGGTGGGAAGAAGGGGGAGAGGGAGACTAGGGAGTCAGGATTTATGTCCCTGAGACCCCCAGCTCTGGGGTGACCTCTCCCAAATACCACTGTATGTCACCCCCATCCAAGCAGATTTCCTGTTCTGGCCTTGAAAGGAAAAACAGGGAAATCATAGGGAAATGGAGGTTTCTCAGCCTTGCACGAGGGGATGGAGTTGATGCCGGCAGCAGGGATGCTCAGGGAGGGATGCTGGGGGTGAAGGTTGGGCTGATTATTCATTCTTATTGCTGACAGCAGTGTGGAATCCTGCTCCCAGCACCCAAATTCAATCAGCCCTGGTACTAAACAAAGGAGCTCCCTGCTCCTTCCACAAACATTCTTCCAAAAGAAACCCAGCAGATGGGATAATGCTGATGGAGAGAATCAGATAACGGACACAATTGGAGTTGTGGCAGATGAATTAATTAAAGTGAAAATGATGTTGTGAATTCGGGTGCATTTCAGCAGCTGGGATGGGGATCCTGGGTACCAGGGCTGTGGATCTCTGCTGTGCTGGCTAATTTACATCATTCCATGACTCCCTATATCCTCCCCCTGCCCAAATCTGTGCAATACTTGGCTATTTCCTTCCCTGCCTTTGGCTTTTTAAATGATTCATGGCTTAAACCAGTTTTCTTTACGAGCTGCTTTCACACATGTGAGGGGAATTCAGCCTCCAAGAGGCTGGAACGTGTTTGGATGGAATTGCAGGTGGAGGAACAGAGCATGAAGCAAAAACCACTCTTTTTGGCTCTGCTTGGACCATTTTGGAGCAAAATACACAGAGAAAGCAGCAGTCAGGGAGGTGGGATTACCTGGGAATCAGTGGCCTGAAGGCGACAGCATTTCTGTGCTTCCAGGGGCTGGAAACACCCTGGATTTGATTTGTTTTGGGAAGCACTCACCTGCCCCTGAGTAAATCCCCTACCCCATGTCATCTAATGGCTGTGGGGTCTGGGATGAGCATCCCTTGGGCAGGAATCAGCATCCTTTCTGTAGGGCTCAGCATCCCTTCGGCTGGGGTCTGGGATACCTGTGGGAATTTGCAATGCCACCTCAATGCCATGTTTAAAAATGCAGTTGAAGTTGCTTAAATCAGCTTGATTAAACAAAATTGCCCCTCTGGGATGTGCTGCAGGCCCTGGGCTTGTGCAGCACTGTCCAGTCACCTCGGTGCGTTGGAATAACCCAGGGCAGGATCCAGCCCTGTGTTCCTGGATTTATTTATAACTCAGCTCTTGCAGAAACAGGGCTGGTGCCCTGTGGGTTCCATCCCCTGGAGAGCGGAGGCAACACGAATAGAAGGTTGTGCAATCAGCACGACCTCATTTCTGAGGAGCTCCAGGCCTTTTGCAGCCGTTAATCAATTAGTCTGGGGCAGCCCTGTCCCTCTGGATGAATGATCTGCGATCTCTCCGGAGCTGGGGCCTCATTCCCATCTGGACTTGTGACCATGGCTTCCCCTGGCCCTGGGCAAGTGCTGAGACCTTCAATAAATCTTCTGCAGAATATTTAAAATTCAGGTTTTGCCTATAAATGAAAATCAGCCACCTAATTCCAGACCAAACCCTTCCATGGATTCCTAGCAAGGAGAAAGATTTACAAACCCCCCAACATGCTTGGAAATCCTGCACAAAAATCCATTGGCAGATAGGCAAGTCCTGCCCTGGATTTACAAATCAGGCCAATAAGTCCCAAATAAGAGGGTTTTCCTTGGTGGTTTGGCCTATGGAAGGGATTTAGAAGCTCCACAGGGAAGCACATGCCTGGGGATGTCTGACTGCCGAGGAACAGGATCTGATCCCGGCACAGCTCCTTGGGATGAGCCGTGACACCCGAAAGCTGCTGAGTCAACTGTTCTTAAGCCTTCCCCCGGCAGAGGGGATGCACAAACCCATTTCTCAGCAAAATTAAGGCAGAGAGGAGCTGAATAAATAAACTTTGCTTTGATTGGAAGGCTCAGTGTGCTCTGCTGGCCCTGGGAGAGGCATCGGAGAGTACTGGAGGCTCCAAGGGAGATGCCTCAGATGGTCCAGTTGTTCCCTGCTGCAGTGGAAACCTCCACGTCCAATGGTTTCATTCCCAGCCATAACATATTTAAATGTAAAGAGTACTTAAATTCTGCCTGATGCATCTCATTTGCTGCTTCTGCTTTAGAGAGTGAGAAAGGGTGAAAATCCATTTCCATGGGGTTGGAGTAGACGGTGGCAGCTTTGTCTGGGAACTCGGGCTGCCCAGTTTCTCCCCAGCAGCAATTCCAGGCTCCCACTGCAGGACAGTCCTAGGGAGGGAGGTTGAAAGGCTTCAGGGATGCCAGCACAAGGTGCCCAGTGTCCCTGGGGTTTCATACTGGTGTTACTGGTTGGTGCCATCACACCAGGGAGGCACGAGGGTGTGAGGCCACAGGAGCTGCTCTGTGTTGTGGAACTGAGGGTGGGGATGGAGGGACGTGGGGCTTTCTGGTGGTCCCTGCACCTAAGTGGGTGGCTTTTGGGTGACAGCAGGTCAAGCCCTGTGGACTGGGTCCTGTATCCCATGAACTGGTCCTTGCACTCCATGCTCTGGGTCTTCATATCATCCCATTTCCAGGTCTCAGCAGAAGAATTTTGGGGGGATACTGGGCTGTGCACCCAAAGATGCTCAGCTGAGTGCAGGACCCTTCTTCCCCCACTCCCTGAGGTGTGGGGCTGAGGTTGGTACCTGCGTCACAGCCTTCCCGTGGGACAGGGGCCCCCATTGTTGTCATCAGACTCCATCCCATCCCCCTGTGTTTTAAAGCCCTATTCTTTCCTTGTCCCTCTGATAAGAAATGCTAATGATGTGATGAAATTGGATAGTTCCATCGCCTTCTCCTTCTAATGGAATTCTTGTGTTGGTTAATTTGCTGTTTTTAATGGGCTGATTGTTCTCCTGCCCTGGGGGAACCACGTGAGCCGGCGGGCGAGTTTGGCCGTGGTCAGATGTGAGGTGGTGCTTGAAGACAACTGAACCTTGGTGCCCAATAATTGCAGAGCAATTTGAAGACAAGACCTAAATGTATAATTTATTGGTGCCTCACTCGTCCCAGTCACTCGCAGTGGCAGAGACGCTCCCTCACTCATCAGAGCCCCCTTGGACCTGTACCCACCTCCCTGTGCATGGGAGGGATGGATAAACCTGGAAAATTCAGGAGGATTTCCTTGCCTCCTTGGCCTCAGGACTGCTGACACCGCAGAGGGAGGTGGGTTGAGTGTGGAGCGATGCATAGTCTGGTATCTCACTGCTGGGATGAGGATTTGGGTTTGGAGTGACGCTGACCTGGGCATCCCACTGCTAGGATGAGGATTTGGGTGTGGAGCAATGCTCAGCTGTTTATGCCACTGCTGGGATGAGGATTCCAGCTCTTGGCAGGAGCGTGGTGATGGGGGTCAGTAAGGAAGCAACCCCTCATCCCAGTTGGACCCACTGCCCGAGAAATGTTCGCCCTCAGCTCTGCTGTGCTTTGGTTCTGGGTGCCAAGGGGGTCTGGGGCAGCTGGGAGGGACACCCCAATCCTGGCACTGCCAGCTGGGAGAGTTTTCCAGCCACACAACTCCCCAGGGCTGGATCCATCCTGCAGGATCCAACCAGAGCCCTGTGACAGGGACAGAGGGTCACAACGAAGCGAGGGCTTGGGAATAAATCCCCTCCCTGGCCTGGCTGTCCCAGCAGTTTTCCAGACAGCCTTTGCAGCAGCCGACGGAAGGCCATGCTGAGGACATTGTGCCGCGCTGGCTCAGGAATGTCCCCGTTTGCTTCATTAGTTTGGATGCCAAAGTGTGTCACCACTGTCTCCCGGCCATGCCATGGGCTGGGCTGGCACCAGCGCTGCTCCCGAACACAGCCCGAGTGGGATGCAGGCAGTGGGGGACAGGATGGAACCCCTGGGGACACTCCCTGCGACAGGTGACAGTGGTGATGGGGACCCAGAGTGGCTGATCCTTCACCCAAAGCTGCTGCACTCAGGGATGGATCCATCCCTACAACACAGGGAGCGCAGGTGGGAGGCAGGGAGTGGTGTTGTGCAGAGCTTCCAACATCCACATCCATCAGCTCCCAATATGCCCAGCCCCTCCTGGGATTGGTGCCAGTACTGGGGGCGTTGGTGCTATTGGGAGCATTGGTGCTGATACTGGGAATATTGATGATGATCCTGGGAGCATTAACACTGATATTGGGAGTGCTGGTGCCCATACTGGGAGCACTGTTGCTGACACTGGGAGTGTTAGTGCCAGTGTTGGGAGTGTTGATGATGATACTGGGACTGCTGGTACCAATACTGGGAGCACTGTTGTTGATACTGGGAGCATCAGTGCTGATACTGGGAGCACTGATGCTGACACTGGGAGCACTGGTGCCAACCTGGGGAGTGCTGGTGCTGACACTGGGAGTGTTGATGGTGATACTGGGAGCACTGGCGCCAGCTGTATTTGCCACCCTCACTGCCTGTGAGCCCTCAGCAGCCGAGGAGTCGGAGCCGAGCCCATTATCTCCCACAGACAATTAGCAGGAGCATTAATGGAATATATGCAAATGTGCAGTAATTGACCTGCGACTCCACGGTTCATGATGGAGAAGGATGAGCTCCAGATGCTTAAGGAGAGTCATTTAAGCTCCTTTTTTATATGCTGCTCTTCCTTGCTGAGCCTGGCAGGCTCCAACCTGGGAGGGGAGGAGGGTAGATGGCAGTGGAAACACTGGGGAGTGGGGACAACCCCCAGACATGCTGTTTGCACCCCAACCCCCCCCCATGTTCAGCTCCAGCAGGCGGGTTTGTTCTGTCATGGAAGGGGAAGCTGTAATATTCCTGTCCAGGGCCAAGCACCCTCAGGTCCACTGGACCACGGGGCTGGGGATGTTTGCCCTCCGTGGTGGGGCTGGACCACCCTCTCTGCCCATGTCAAGGTGCCACCTGCTCCTGTGTCCTGCACAGAGGTGCCTACACATGGAAAAGCCCAAATGCCAATCTCCTTGCTGGGCTGCTACTCTGAGTTTCCTCAGCCTTTACTCAGGCCATGTTGGCTCCAAGGGAACGGGTGGTGTGGGTTTGTGCCCACCACTGCTCGGACCCTGCCTGGCCCTGAGCTCCACCGAGTTCACCAGGCAGAACCAGAGGTATTTGAATAACCACTGTGGGAACCCAGATTAAAATATTGATGTATAATTCATGCCATATGTTCCACCAATATTTTTTATTTAATCAACTGAAGACAGATGGCAGGAACACGGAGGCCATTAAACTAATGGTACTTTGTCTTTCCATTTATTTCCGTCTCCTTTCCTAAAATAAGACAAGACCATGACAGGCAGCACACCCTGGGCATGAGACCATCCCTGGCACACTGATGTGTCAGCAGGATGTGATGGCACTGCCATTTCCCATGTGGTGTTATCACAGGAAGGGCTGGAGTAAATTTTCCATAGCTGGGGGAAAAATACAGAGGAATCCCATAGCTGGAGAAATCCCATGAGGATTCCCATGAGAGAAGTCCAGCCTGGCTGAGCTGGAGGAGATTGTCCCTTCCCTGGGCTCGCCTGTCCTTCCTGTACCAAGAGCCACCAGAGATGGCCCTGGGTAGCCCTGGTGTTCCCAGGGCAGCAGGGGGTCCACCCCAGCTAGCAGGGTGGGAATGGGGATGGTCCTGGCTGGAGGATAGAGGATGTCACGGCAAAAGCCTCCCTGGGGCCATGAGGGGCTGAAACACAGCCACAGGGAGAGTCACACATGGATGTCATGCTCCCATGGAATCTCCCAGCCCCAGGATGCCAGGTGCTGGAGAATCCACTGGCAGCATCCTCCTACCCTGTTGTCCATCCATGGATTTCACTTGGGGTGCTGGTGAAGAGATGTTTGGATCTAGGGGTGAAATGTGCATGTGCATGAGTGTGGGTGCAGAGCTCATCCTCCTGTGGGTGAAACTGGGAATTCTGCACATGTCCCAGAGCTGTCCTGTAGCTCCTCTCCTGCACAGCAAGGGAGAGACCTGTGGGCTTTGTGGTTTGAGTTCAACCCCACACCCCTGTACCCACCAGCATCGCTCCCACTGCACCCAGTTACCTGTCTGGGGGAAGTGGAAATGCCCCTTTCCAGGGCTGGAAGGCAATGGAGAGCCTGGCTGTCCTTCCTCACCCCACAGAGGGACAGGGACCACCATCCTCCCCGTGTCCTGGGACACTTTCCTGAGTGTGCCTCTCTCTGTTGGACTTGCAGGTGGAGATTTCTTGCCCTGGGAGTGAGCTGAATGGGGCTCCCTTAGACAAAGGGTCCCAGTCAGCATTCCAGGCTCCAGACGCGTCCAGGGACTTTTCATTCTTTGTCTGAAAGGGCAGCGGTGCCGTTCCCATTAGAGCGATGCCTGACGGAGCCGGTGCCACCGGCGAGCGAGGAGCTGCGGCAGCCGATCGGCTTTCAAATCACCTTCAAACCTCGATTTCCTCAACATGATCCCTCCATCGGCCCAGTCTCCGGGGCACAGCCGGGGGGCTTTGCCGGGAGGAGAATAATCCGGTGACAGCCAGCGCTGGAAAAGCCCCGGACACGGCGAGGGGGCTCAAAATCCACCTTTCCCAGCACTCCAGGACTTTTTAGACTCGGGCAGTAGCTTTGCACGGCCTCACCCTGCAGCCCCCACTGTGATTTCGGGGCACTCATCTGCTCTCTAGGATCCAGCACCAATCTAGAGGGGGTGAAGCCCCCCTTGGAGCATCCCCGGGGCCGAAGAGCAGCTTCCCCGCGGCGCCGGCTGCCGGGGGAGGGATGAAGACGCTATGGCCAAGCTATTAGTAAAACTCCAGCGGTACTTTCGGCGGAAACCCGTGCGGTTCTTCACTCTGCTGGCTCTGTATCTGGCGGCCGGCAGCTTGGTTTTCCTGCACTCCGGCTTTTCCGGGGAGCCCACGGTCCCGGGGAGCCCCCGCAGCCCCGCGGGGGGCGAGGGGCCGGGGCTGCCCTACCTGGGGGTGATGCAGCTGAGCCGCGGCTTCAAGGCAGCGGCCACGATCCCGGGGAGGGTCCGGCGACACGGCCCCTGGTTCAAAAGCACCTCCAAGGAACCGGCGGAGAGGGGAAAAGCCAGGGACAACGGCGGCACCCGGAGCCGGGCACTCAGGGGCAGGAGCGGCCGCGAGAAGGAGGAGGACAGAGGTAAGGGCTGGGGACACACGTGTGGGGGGGTGGTGGTCCCTTCTTTTTGCCTTTCCTAAGGGAACATCATGAGCCGGGGCAGTGGTCACTGAGCTGGTTTGGCTGTGTATGCCTGCCAGGAACACATTCCTGAGGATGCACCACCAGGAACTGTGTATTTATTTATAAACCATATGCATGTGCTACTAGAGCGCTGAGGTTTTCCCCCCACATCCCAAGGGACTCCCTGGGGTGCAGCACCTCACTTTGGAGGCCACCAGTCCAGAGGATGTTTCCAGAAGGATCTTCTCCCTCCTTCCCTCTCTTTCCAAGTGCCAATAATCCACTTTTATTTTTCCGTCTTCACACTTTCCCCCTTGTGCATTACCAAGCTCCAAGTTGTCCCTTGCTTTTTGGGGGTGCCAGGTGAGGGAGTGCTGCACCCCACCTTCCTCCCATCTTTGGCTGTGCCAGAGGCCAAATTTGATTTTCATTGTGTTGGCTCTAATGAACACAAACCCCAGATTTATGGGCTGTTTGCACTGTTGGAGTGTTAAGGCAGAGGTTGGCTGTGATTCCCATGCAGGCATGGAAGTGCAAACAGTGCTGGGATTTGGACTCTGGAGTCAGGAGATCCCTGCCTGGCTGCTGCCTGTGCTGTCTGAGGTGTTGTCAAGTGGGTCCATTATTAATGACCAAGGATAAGCGAATGTAGTCATTCCCATCGATTTTTAAAATGCCATCTATTTATCCTGCAGGCAGCCGTACACAGCTGGAGCTGCACACTCTCACGGAATTCGGGTGGCTGGGAGCTGCCATCCTGTCAGGTTTGGCATGCCCGAGGTTATCCAGCCCTCTGGCACCCATGAGCACCCGGTGCCAGTCACCCAAACACCCCCTGTGTCCCCTCTCTGCTCTGCAGCCCCACTGGGGAAGGACCATCTCTGCCTGTGGCTGCTCATTCCCCTCTCCCAAGGTCCAGGGGGTGGGAATGCATATCCATGGGGACCCCTAATTCCTGTAATGGTTGCACCAGTCCACACCCCCAATCCAGGCTTGCTCCAGAGTTGCCCCATGGGCTGGGCACTTACAATTCTCTGAGCATCCCAGTCTGGGAGATTCAGCTTTCTGGACTCTTGATGGAGCAGGAGGTGTGGATGGAGAGAAGCAGGAACCCCCAACCCTGTGGTTTCACAAGGATCCAGGCTTGGTCCCCCCCAACCTGGGCTGATCCCAGGGCATGAGGTGCTCCTCCTCAGCCACCAGCCCCACAGCAGGTAAAGTCCTCCATGCATGATCCAGGCTTGGAAACCAAAGGAAAAATATCTTGAGGTGCTTACAGGACTTTCTCCTGCTAAAACGAGCTGAAGATGGTTCCCCTCTTGTATCCCTGTGTCGAGGGGTCTCTGAGGACATTTCAGTGGTCACATCGCTCTTAATGCAAATTGACATTTAGTGAATCCCAAGCAGATGGTCCCTGAGCTGTCAGACACCATAAGGACCCCGAGCAGGCTCCAGTCCAGGCCATATGCACCGTGTCCTCCACAATTAACCCCGTCTGGCACCACCACCTCCTGTGCCCGATCACAGGGGATGCAGGGCTGGCTTCATTGGATTTAGCTGCTCCCATGTGGTCTGGAAACATCATTTCCCCCTTTTTAACCACTCCATGAGCATCTCGGCAGCTCCCGAGCAGGATGGTGTGGAGAAATTCTCCGACTTGAGAAATCCCATGTGCCCGCTGTGCCTGGTGTGCCAGCAGGGCTGGGGGAGCCTCAGGGGATGGGCTGAGCACCCCCTCGCTCCCCTGCTCTTCTCCAAAGCACCGGGATATCTGGCAGGAGCAGGCGGATTTAATGGTGCTGGTAATTAGGCAGGGGACAGCTTAACAAGGCGGCTGTGGAGGCTCTGCCACGTGAGATTGTTCCAGAGGGAATACGGCTCCGAAAGTCAGCTCTGCTTTCCTGAGTGTGATGTGCGACTCCCTTCTCCCTCCTCCTCCTCCTCCTCTTCCTCCTCCTCCCTCTACCGGCAGCGTCAGGCCTGCCAGGGAATGGCTTCAGCTCATCTGCTTCCCCATGGGAAGGAGCATCCCTGTGGGATCCCTCTCTCTCAAACCCGGGAGAATTTCGAGGCAGTGAGGCAGGGGAAGCAGGCACTGTCCCCAGCCCTCAGCCACATCCATCCCTGTCTTTTACTGGACATTTCCAGCCATTCCCAGCTATGACACACAGTCAAGCAATGCCATGAGGAAAGGGAGAGCAGACACTCCAGGCACACAGCCAGAGCAATCCCTATATCCCTGGCTCCTGGAAGAGTGGGATGTTTGGAGAATTTAATGACAATTGCTGCGTTGATCTGTCTGTTCACACCCTTGTTTCCAATGTGCTCCAAAATTCTTCCTGATGCCATGTGAGCCGCGTGCTGGGGCAGCCCCCCCTCTCTTTGCAAGCTGTGCTGAACCCACTGCCTGCCTCTCAGCATCAACCCCTTCACTTCTGCCCTCTTATGTCCCTAATTATTCCAGTTGGCTTCCCAATAAGTAACAGCACACATATGTCAAGAGCAATGGATTGAAGGTAATGCACATCAGTCACCAGCTCGGTGCAAGTGACTGGAGAAATCCTGCCCCCGCTGGATCCGTCAGGGCTGGAATGTGCTGACCAGCCACAACCTGCCCAGCCCTGAGGAAATGCCACGTTCTGCTGGGAGTGATTGGGAGTGATTGGGAGCAATGAGTTATGGCCTTGGTGGTTAAAGTTATCAGGCACATTTCTCTCTGTCTTCCTCCTCCACCTTCCCCCAGGCTGGCTTGGGAAGGCTATTGCAGCTCTGGTGGGCAATGGGGGGGCCTGTGTGGGGCACACCATGGATGGGGTGTGCTTGGTGAGCTGGGTCAGATGTGGAATGCAGGGAGGGGGTGAAAAGTATTATCCCATAGTGTGGTTTCGAATTGGAGTGGCACAGATTAGATACATGGAACAAATAATTCCCTGTGAGGCCCTGGCACAGGTTGTCCAGAGAAACTGCAGCTGCCCCACCCCTAGAAGTGTCCAAGGCCAGGTTGGACGGAGCTTGGAGCAACCTGGGATAGTGGAATAACAAGTGAATTATTGCTGTTATATTCACTGAGGTTGCACACCTGGAACAGGGAGTGAGGTGAACCGGACTGGTTTGGGCTTCCATACCAGTTCTGCCATCACTGCTGGGCCAGTAAGACCCAGCCACTGGTCCCAAGTGCCATCCTCCCCTCTCCCTGGAGCACCCACTGGGTGTCTGGCTGAACATCCTTTGCCAGAACATGTTAATAGACACCTCATTAGCTGATTACTGATGGCTCGTCCCACAGCTCCCCTACCCCGTTCTCCTGGAGCAGCAGTGGCAGTGAGGATGCTGAACATCCCTGGTCCAGCTCCGCATCCCTGCATTGATCTAAGGCATCTCCCCGCAGCAAACACTCAGGTGGGAGCAGGAGTAGGGCACTAACAAGGGTGCTAATGAGGGCACCTAACGAGGAGGCTGAGCAGGGACAGCTCATGGACCATCTCACTCCTAACAAGAGCCTACAGCCGGCGCTGAATGTCGCCGCAGGCACGCAGGAGATGGCTCTTTGTGCTCAGGTTATTGGGAAAGGCTACATTTGTCAAGTAAATGATTTTAGTGTGACTTCATTCAGCTCTATTCCCTCTCTCCTGGCATCTTCATTTACTCTCAGCACAGGCATCAGCCTTTACTTTGCCAAGTGTCAGTGCTGGACAAACATCCTCTGCTCCCAGGCTGGGGCTGGGGAAAATGAGCCGCTGGCTGAGGAAAATGTGTGTTAAATGATATTTCTCCAGTCTGCCCAGCCCTGTGCTTCTGGCAGAGCAGGGTGAAGGAGATGGGTTATTTTCCTACGTAGCTCATCTTTTGGAGCAGCTTTGCTCAGCTTGGAGGCTAACGTGGAGGAAAAGGAGGAAGAGGAGAATCCTCAGTGCAGAGCCACAGGATTCCTTCTATCCATGAGGGTGTTCCTGGGCTTTAGCCACCTTTCCCTGTTTGTCGTACCCAGAGCACGTGTTTCCAAAGCAAACAAACAGGGTACATTGCGGCACATCCCTATTTAGGGAATAATCAAGAGGAGGTGGGAATGGGTGGGCTCAGCCCCAGTGGGTTCTTACCCCCCTCTCTGCTCTCCACCCCCAGCACGATACATCGGCTGCTACATGGACAACACTCGCCGGCGGACCCTGCGTGGGATGTCCTTCTTCGACTACAAGAAGATGACAGTCTTCCGTTGCCAGGACAACTGTGCTGAGCGGTAGGGCAGGGCACTGTGTCTCCAGGAATCCCTGCACACCTTCTCCATGAATCCCTACACAACATGTCCATCAATCCCCGCACAACATCTCTGTCAATCCCTACACACTGTCTCCATGAATCCTTGTACACCATCTCTGTCATTCCCTGCACACAGAATGCAATGCAATAATAGGATAGGATAGGGTGGATTGGAATAAGATATGATAGGATTGAATAACAGGATAGGATAGGATAGGATATTTTCGGTTGGAAGGGCCCTACAATAATCATTAGCCCAAAAATTAACCCTTGGGATGCAGCGCTGCTTCCAGTGCTGCTGGTCATGAGCAGGCTGTGGCACGGATGCTCCTTCAAAATCCCCAGGGAGTCCCCTATCCCCCTCTCCACAGGGGGTATCCCAGGAATGTCTGAGCCCCCCATCTCCCTCTCCACAGGGGGTACCTCTATGCAGGACTGGAATTTGGCGCCGAGTGCTACTGTGGGCACAAGATCCAGGCGTCAAACGCCAGCGAGTCCGAATGTAACATGGAGTGCAAGGGGGAGCGGAGCAACACCTGTGGTGGGATCAACCGTCTCTCCATCTACCGCCTGGAGCTGGCCCAGGAATCCGCCAGGAGATGTAAGTCAGTGACATCCACACAGCTCCTGGCTCAGCCCTGGAATGGGGGAACCCCTCGCGGTGCTGGAGGGGTGATCCCAACATCTCTGTGCCATGTAAGCTGGGTCGTGGCTCAGTAGGAGTGGTTTGAGAGAGGTTCAGGTCTGTGGGGGGGGGGTAGTTTTGCTCCTGCAAACCAAAGGAATCCCCCTGTGAGGAATGCTGCTGGATGGGGCAGGTTGGAACAGGGATCCCCAAGGACCCCAGTGGAAATTCAGGGCATTTTGGGGGACTTCAGAACACGATCTCTTTCCTGACCATCAGTGCATTCAGTGTGTGCTGTGGGATGAAGGATGTGCGGGAGCTCCAGACAGAGCCGAGGGTGCTCCCTTTCAGAGTAGCTCGTTTAGCTCCCAATTAGGCAACTCTGTAATTACCCACATTTGCTGCTTGTCTTTCCTCATTCCCAAACAGTGGGAAAGAGGGTGGAGCAATCAGAGCTCCCATCACCAGGAATCCGCAGTGGGGCTGAGGTTGCCCAGGTACCGGGAGTGGTGGGATGGGACCCCTCAGGGCACAGATCCCGGGGGGACCAGCCCAGCCCCCGTCCTGCAGTCCTCTCTGTTTCCACCCCTCCTGCAGCTCGGGATCACCGAGTTGATAAAAATAGCGAGGCAAAAATAAACCCGACTTTGCTGCCGGGGTTTTGCTCTGATTTTGCACCGTAAGCAGCCGGGCGAGCGCGTCAGCCAACGCGGCTGCACCGCCGGAGGGGGCCGGGAGCCGGGGAAAAGCCGATGGAGCGGCGGGAGACGGGAATGCTGCGTCACGCAGAGGCTCCTGCTCCCGAGCCTGGGGCACACAGGGTGGCAGCGGTGCCATTTTGGAGTGCAGTGGTGTCATTTTTGGGGGGCAGTGGTGCCAGGGTCACTGTGGCCTCTTTCCCTCGCAGATGGCAGTGCCATATTCCGGGGGTGCTTCCGCCGGCCGGACAACGTGTCCATCGCCCTGCCCGCCAGCCAGCTCATGCTCAACATGTCTGTGGACAAGTGTGTGGATTTCTGCACTGAGAAGGTACTGGGGCAAAGATGCTGGAAGGATGTTGAAAGGGTACTGGAAAAGGCTGGAGTGAGCTAGAAGGGTGCTGAAGTGATGCTTGAAGGGTGCTGAAGTGATGCTTGAAGGGTGCTGGAATGATGATTGGAGGGTGCTGGAATGACAGTTGAAGGGTTCTGGAATGGGCTTGAAGGGCAGTGGAATGGGCTGGAAGGGTGCTGGAATGATGCTGGAAGGGTGCTGGAATGAAGCTGGAAGGGTGCTGGAATGATGCTGGAAGGGTGCTGGAAGGGTGCTGGAATGATGCTGGAAGGGTGCTGGAATG